CCGATGAAATACTTTCAAAGCAACTGTGCTATGGGGTAGATTAGTGTCAAAAAGTTTGTATCAAAATATTGCTCTTCCATAGCTTGAACTCAGATTTTTTTTATGGTTCGTCTTAATTTTTAAAAGCACAGTATGAAAAATATCAAACATATATACATGTGGAAAAAAGTACAAATTTTCATTCATGTACAATAACAATTAACTCATTATCAAACTATCTCTAGTTGCATCAATACCTCCCATCTGAATTTGACGCAAATCTCAAACGTGAGATAATTTCATTAATCAATATTTCAGCATGCATTTCTGAGGAAAAAGTTAACTTAAGCGACTCTGTTAACATAGATTAGGCAAATCTGATGCAAAAAAAAATTTTTTAAGTGTTAAAAAGCAAAAAGGTTACTTTGAGGACTAAGGTGCACCTGACCATTGGGTATTTTCAGTCATGTCTTATGCATGCAAAAGCTGGAATAAGGAAGAGCAAAAAACTGATGACTGGATTATGGTGCTGGTGAAAAATATTGAAAATGCCAGAAGGAACCAAACTGTCTTGAAAAAAATACTAGCAGAATGCTCCTTGGAATAAGGATGAGATTTCGTTTCATGTACTTTGGACATGTAGTCAGGGAGGACCAATCCCTGGAAAAAGACATCATGTTTTGAAAAGTACAGAGTCCAGAAAAAAGAGGAAAATCTTCAACAAGATGGATTCACGCAGTGACTACAATAATGGGGTCAAACATAGCAACAATTGTGAATATGGCACAGGACCAGACAGTATTTCATTCTGTTTTGCATAGGGTTACTATGAGCCACCAATTCAATGGTGGCTAACAACAACAATGAAAAATGCAAAGACTGTACTTGGTGATATTATTTATCACACCAAGTGCTAATGAATGTCCACACTCCTTAATAAAAGAATGAAGAAGTAAGTAATGGCAGGTCCTTATATTTTCATTATGAGCTCATTAAAAACTTTTAACAACATGGAAAAACATAATGTTGAATAAAAAAGAAAGAAGACAAAATTATAAGAGAGTATGGATTCAACTCTGTGTTAAAAGGTGAATGGTGCACCAGTGTTCACTGCAGTACTATGCACTATAGCCCAAAGTGGAAACAACCTAAATGCTCATCTGCAGATGAATGGATATAAACAAACCATATACATACATATACCATATACATACATAAAGAAACACAATGGTTACAGGGATGCAGGAAAGGGGAAATTATTCACTGGAGTCCTTGTGCAGTGCTGCAGGATAAGCACTGACTGCAAGGATGGTTTGAACCACCTCACCACCCCTACCTCGGAAACCTAAACATGGCTGCTCAACAGCACTTAACAAAAACTTGGATGATGGGGAAGGCAGAGGAAAGATGACGCTAGAGGAAGAAATGGGTAGGAATGGAAGAGTTTAAATGAACAGAGGTAAAATATTGTTAACTGATAGTACATGAAGAAGATTACAATCTTGTAATAAATTTATTTGTACAGGATTTGTTGGGTATAAAATTGATGATATGCTCTCAATTTACGATAAAAAGTAAAAAATTTTAAAAAGGTGATGGAAAAATTCCATTATCTTTCTATTGTATTTTTAACGAAGTTTTTGGAGCCCCTCATATATATCTTAAGGAGCTCTGGAAGCGTAGTGGTTACGAATAGGGCTGCGAACCTTAAGACCTGCAGTTCGAAACTACCAGCCACTCCGCGGGAGAAAGATGAGGC